AAAATACTAAAAGTCAAGCCTCTGACTTTGGTAGTTCATATCTTGTGGACTTTTCATCCTATTTTCGTATTTGTAGAATATTTTCCAGGGTATCCCATTGTCGTACCGCAACAGTTAACAATCATAATTATGACAGGTATTTAGTTTGCGAGCATTTTAAACATCCAATTAGCAGCAATGTCTTTGTTTGCATAGCCCTCGAAATGGTTTGTTTATGGTTCGTTTCGGATATGTCTCTGGCTGTTATGGAAAGTAATTTGGCCAACGTTTAAGCTGGGTAGCACAGCGAATGTGTTCAATAATTTATGCATAACAAACAATAAATTAGAAAGGTTTCGCGCATCTTGAATGCAAATTAATGGGCCACCAGAGCGTGTGATAAATGAACAGATCTGCTAGTAATAAAAAACTCAAATATTTGCTGGATTCTTGAATCATGATATAATAAGTATGTTAATCCCATGTCGATTCACTTCAGTTAAGTAATTGCAATACCAAACCACTAAAATACGTATAGCTCCTTTGAGACTCAGCTCAACTGAATCCCAGTAAGTCCAGAAAGTAATCACCTTCGTATTCTAATTCCAAGCAGATATCCGTCTTTAATCCATAAACGCAACTTAAACTTTGCTTGGGTTAAATATAAAAAAAAATTAATCCCGCAATCAAACCCCAGGGAGGTGTCACAGACCTTAGGCCAAAAGTCAGCCATTAAATGGTGGTGGCCAGGCAGCAGAAGACGTCGGGCCAAGCAGGAGACTGACTATCTATCGGAAGGACAATTAAAAGCAGCGAATGGCGCATTAAAAACTCAACTAAGGGTAGATACCAGACGCAGGCCTTGGGTGAGCGGGCGGACCACCGAGTCGGATTGGACACGCTAATGACAGCCGGAGTCAACAAATGTCACAGTTGGCCATTACGGCTCGTACCTGAACTTGGCCGGAATGGGTAAACGTTTAGTGGCCTGTCAAATGGGTGGGGTGGGTGGTAAGGGCGGTTGGCAGCGGTGTTCCGGGTAACAGGAGACTAAAAATTGTAATTGAGGTGCGGCACGGCGATGTCAACTAGTTTCGACTTAACTAATTAATCTGCTCAAATTAATTGACTTTACATCGAATTAGGTCGTTCGCTTGTTTGCCTGCCTCCTCTCTTCCCCCTCTCCTCTCTCTCTCTCTCTCTCATTATATTTTCGCTGTTTACAGTGCGCGCCTGCAGCTGTCCTCGCTGTCTGCGCCCAGGATGCGTTGTCCTTTTTCAGCCGTGAGTCATTTGCTCGCAAAAATTTCCACACAGCATCCGAACATTAGTTTTTATTTTCATTTTCCCGTTTTTTCGCTCTCTCTCTCTCCTTTTGGCTTTATGTCTGCGTAATGAAAACTTTATCTTTGTCACAGTTGTGTTTTTCTCTGCGTGTGTGTCAAATGTTTTTCCCTTGCATTGTGCTGGCATACCTCTTAAATGTGCCTGGTGGGGTATGCTAGTTGGACTAGAATCGTATTATAAGATACAAACTTTTACTTTCAACTGGCAAATTAAATAGTTTCATTAGTTCTGCACTCAGCTTGCACTCATTACTGGATATCTTCAAGTCGATCACAGCTTGCTCTCGCTTTATCTTTGTTTCATTACTCATACGACCCCTGCAACAGTTTCTTTTCAGCTTCTGTTTAGCTTGGCATTCGCTGTTGCCGCCTTTGGCTTTGGCTTTGGCTTTGTCTCTGGATTTGGCTTCTTTGGCTTGCTTATTGTCTTCTTCTTCTTGGCTTTAGTTGTTGCCACATTATGAAATTCGTTTCGTTTTGTCTGCGCACGCTTACAAATCCATTTGTTCTTATGATAACCTCTGATATATGTGGAGCGGGTGGGTCGACCGATTGCTTCGCTTGTTTCCTGAATTGTTTCTGATGACTTGCCCTCGCCTGTCCGATGGCTCAAATAGTACAAGAACTCAGCAGACCGTACCGACTATAATCGATTATTAAAGTATGTTTTACTTGAGGCTATAGCCACGGCTAGAGTATCTATCTATCTTGCTTGATAACTAAGCTCTGTATGTAATCTGTATAATCTGTGATTTCGTATGTATGTATATCCAAGGATATCGCAAATTAAATATATTCCATATTCCACGAATACGACTGATAATATTCGTATATACCCCTTTTGAAGAAGCACTTCTAATGGGCATAAGAACTTAATTGATCTGCTTATCGCGACAAAGTCGCACTTGTCGCACTTCCACAACTACTTCACTTTCAAGTGCTTCTTATTGAGAACGCCAGCAGAGCCCCTCAGCAGATAAAAGAGTGAAAACCCATGAACACAAACATCGGCATCGACTGTGCGACAAATGCAAATGAACTTGAAAGACATTGTCTATTCATTTGATTCAATATTTCAGTATTCAGTATTCAGTATTCAGCCTTTCGTATGCGTGGCATGAATAACTAGTCACACATGCTAACGCAGCTGACGCTTCGAATAGGAGCACATTGCTCCTGGCCTACAATAACAAAGGTGATCGATGGCCCGCCCGCTCACTAATTGTCAACTGTCAGCAAAGAGTCGAGCACATTTGTCAAAGTCAAGCGACTCCGCTTGGTAGTTGTTGTTGTCACTGTAATTTCGACTAATTAATGGAGCCTACAATTAGTTAAAATCGTGTCCATCATACAGCGAGCAATTAGTTAAGTATGAAGTTCAAGGTGTCACTATTTAGCTGACAGGCGCTGTAGCGACTCATGCGAGCATTGATATTCAGCCCAGGAGCAATTGCAGACTGACTGCAGCGCTTTATGGAAATCATGGAGGAAACTAATAAAAGCAGCTGAAAATCTTGTCTGCCGCTGGACTACATTAATGCATTCGTTATGGGGCGTATCTGGGTGCGACAGACTACAGATCTCATAATTGTGCTCAATTTTTATTCTTTTTGACAATCTCAACAAGAATTTATGACCGAACCATGTGCTGGAGAGAAATAGACCTTAAGTTGGCTCGGCTTGAAATGTTTCGGTTTTGATTTGCTGATTATAATTCAAACACTTTTCGCAACGAAGGGGTTACGTGAGTGAACTCCGATGTCAGCTGGGAAGCTAGACGCCATGGAATCTGGGTGGAATCGTGCATGAAAGTCTGAGCATAGACGAATATATATGCATTTATTATAAGCGAAAATCTTATACTCTTATTGGAATATGGCATGCGAAGTGGAAAAGTTTCTATATTAATCCCATATTCAGAAAGCTGAGAGAATTCCACGGTAGAGTCTGGAAACTAGGTGAAATAGTTCAACTAATTATCGTTGCAAAATATTTATCATGATTATAATAATAATATTTCAACAATATTTTCTGCTATTGGTAGTTAAATTTATTGTAGATCATAGGTATTACAAGCGCAATCTATAATACCAGCTAAAAGACTAGAAAGAGTTACCCACAAAAATATAGAACCTAAATGAGATTGAGTATAAACGAGATTGAGTATAAACAAATATCATAAATTAAAAATCAATATTAAATTAAATCAATATTAAATTAAATTTGATACTCATAGAAGATCAGAGAATTTCACTTAAATACATATAAATATAATAGTATATTCTTAAATTTAAAAATAAATTTATATAACTAATAAAGTTTTTTTTTTTTAATACTAAGCTCAATAAAATACAAAATAAATTGGTCTATTTCTTAGCTATTTCGCCAGAAATTATTACGCAGCTCGATTGTTGCCAGTCGAAATTCGTCTTATTCTTACCCAAACAGTTTACTTTAATACCAATAGATCTACAGCTCGTGTAATGCACAAAATCACGCGCTCAGCTCCGGTGGCAAACATAAGAAACAAGACAGCAACAAAATATTAAACAATTATAACAATTTAATCAAAGCCGTGTGACTGCGCCAACAACTGCGGCGAAGGGGAGTGGGGCGTGCGGAGCCGGAGGAGCTGGTAGCTGAGGTAACTGAAGTGCCATGCGCTTAAATGGTGGGGCAGATGCCGAGCCAAGTGCCAAGCGTCCACGGCCACTTAAATGCGAAAAGCTGTGAGCAAAATGCTGAGCACTGTAAACGAAGCTAAACGATGAAGAGAGAGAGGTGGAGGTGAAGGCGGGTAGGTGCAGAGTAGAGGGGCCTTACAGCACACACACACCTATTGACTTAATTGATTTCGCATAAATTCAGTTTTTTCTCCCTCTCTATCTCTCTCTTACTCCCAGTCAGGTTTCGGCCAGCAGCTGTTGGGCATTTCGACACCTTTTGACCTGGCGAATGAACGGGGCTGAGCAGCGAGGTGAGAGGAGCACGCAGTGCAAATAGAAGCCAACTGCGAGTCAATATATTGTACTATGTGCAGGGAGATAAACTCGCGACCGATATACTCGTAGATCTGCGAGGGTGAGGGCAAGTGGACTAAGGGACTGCGAACTCAGAGCTGAGGTCAGCTGCTGACGCTACGGCTACCCCCAAAGGTAAAAAATATGATATGTCCGCATGTATATGTGTGTTGAAATAATTTTGGGTGTGTTCGTAAAACAGACATACACACATACATACACACGCACACCCTTGGCAGCTGGACTGCAGCACCCAGGTGTGCTCACAATATCGTTTACTAATAGTGTGTCAAAGCTGTCTGTGGCGTCAAATTGGAAGCTCACACCTGTTAGGCACCTGGACGACCCATCAAAATGAAATGAAGTGCGGCACCTTTGAGCATATGATTAGGCATAGCAGCCGAATGAGCGGCAACTCAGTTACCTGTACTGGAACTCGCTCTCTCTCTCTCTCTGTCTATTTCTATCTCTCTTTGCATATATAATGACATTCCCACGCTGCGTGAGATTTGATTTGCTCCCCCAGCTAATTTGAGTAATTTGCCTTTTATGATCGCTGCACTTGGACGTGCGTGTGGGGGTGATAATGAGTATCATTGATTGCATTGCTAATGAGTTCAATCACTATTACTATTACTATATGTGGGCGACGCTGCTGCAATTGCTGTTGCAATTGGCTTGGATATTATGATAATATCTTTATTGGATTGTACTTTTTTTCGACTGCTTTG